AGGTCCTCCTTCGAGAGCCCTCCTTGAGAATGATGAGGAGGGCAGTGACGGGGGGAGGGTCTTCTCTGCAATAGCACCCCGATTACGGAACTCAGTCTCCAGAGAGGTGTGCCTAAATGACACCTTATTGGTTTAGGCGCATGGCCAAAACCTTTTTATTCTCCCAGGTTTTTTTTTACTCAGTAATGCATTTTAATTAGTTTTAGTAAGCGTGGGCACGAAGAAGTGTTTAACTACTTTATGGTGGTAATACGGTTTTAATATGTATTTATACTTTTGACTTTTTATGCAAACTGTCTTGAGATTTTACAGTAATCAGACAGTATATAAGAAAATTAAAATAAAAGAATTAAAACAACCTTCCTGAATATAAATGGCTCTGGTATGGTTGTCCTTTAAGCACGAGGGTTTTGATTCTTTTGAAAGGTAAGATTGGGAATTGTTTTGTCAAGTGGCATAGGGGATTTAAAAACTGATCTTTTAAAAAATCCCCTCATTTACACACATTTCTTTTCTGAGCAGCCATGCATACAGGCTGAGCCAATTCAGACATACTGCTGTGTCAGGCTAAAGCAAGGTTGCGGTGCAATAACCTTTGCAATACCTAGTCTTTGTGCTCGACTGTCTGGTTAGGGATGGGATGGTTTTGGTTTGGGTGCGTCTCTTCGTATGCAAAGATACTGCCTACATCATCAACTCGAAGGCTGTGTGTCTACATCTGTATATTCAGGAAAATAGTTGCTCTCTGTGAGATGGAAAAGAAATGATTGTAGTGTTCATTTGACAGAGTCACGACTATTCAGGGTTTGAGAAGAGAGCGTCAGAACAGAGGAGGCCGGCTTATCAGGAGAGAGACCACTGGCTCTGCAGGTCTCCAGGCTGGGCTTTTTCCTGCCCTGCGGAGGATTGAGCCAGGGCCCTCTGCATGCGAAGCACGTGCTTTTCCACGGAGCGGCAGGCCCTCCCTCAAGAGAGGCCATTTAGATGCTGAGGGATGTGGAGTACAAAAATAGCAGTCCAGGATAATTCATACCTGGAAAGTGAGGCTCTTATCTCAATAATTCATCCCGCTGCTGACATCCTGGCTGGAATCCTGTTAAGCGGCCTGTGTAGGGCAGCCTCTAAAGTCGGTTCAGAAACGTCAGGCAGTGGATGGGTTGCAGCCAGCTAGGTACGAATGCAGGCTGGGCAACCAGCTCGAATCCGGCGACCTGTTTTGCAACTTGAATTCACATTGGGCAACATTCATTAGGTTGTAATCATAAAAGCACATGCTGACTTGGAATCAGAGCTTAGTGGACTCCGTGGATTGACTTCTGCGTAAACCTGTACAGGTTTATCAGATGTCTGCCTTGTTTAAAACGTTCCCTTCCAAAGAAACCTGCTTTAATGGGGAAATGGTGCATGACTTTGAAGTGTGGCGTTTATCTGATTCTTAATAAATATTTGTTGATCAAACAGTATATACAGGCTGAAAATGGAAATTATTAATTTAGAAGCTTTTAACTAAATGATTTACCTCTTGCTTGGGACTGAGGTGAGGAATTGAAAGAGCAGGCCATGTCAGCACACAACTTACTGAATGGCATATGAAAATGAGATTATATATGCTTGGGTGCCATGTTCTTTTTTCAAAGAAGGAGTAACATTTTCTTTGGTTAGTAAAAGTATAACTCATGTGCATGAGTTGCATGCGATTTCCACGTGGCTTGATGGCATGTCTGCCTTAGATGTAAACTTGGCAGAACATATCGATCCCCTCCATGTTGAGTAACTTAGTTACCTGCAGAGGCAGGTGTGTGCCAAAGGCCGCATGTGCACCTTCTGCATTCCCCTCCTAGGAGTAATCCACCTATAGAGTGTTTGCCTCCAACATCCCAGAATAGCTACCAGTGTTGAGCAGGACAGCATGTCCCTTAGGTGTCAGCAAGGATCAGTGCCGGTGTCATGTGAGCTGATGCATATCGCTTTCCCAAATTGATATTTCATCGTTACTCTTTCCAAAGCTGTGCAAGCAAAGATGCTTTGAAACATACACTAGCCAAGCTGACAGGCTCGGGATGAGCTGTGCAGGCCTGAACTGGGGGTGGCTGTCGCCGTACCCCTTCGCTCAGCGCAAGCAAGTGTACCCTGTGCGTCCTGCAGTATCAGGATGTGTGAGCCACGAGGAACGTGCGCCTTGTGCATATATCTTGCGTCCTGACAGGACTCCTCAGATTCAGTCTGTTCGTGGACCTGTCTGAGTTGGGTCATTTCTCCGTGGTTGCGAAGGGCAGATAGAGCTGGTTGTTTCTTGCAAATTAACATGGATCACATTCATGATAAGTTCATGATACAATTCATTTATGATAAAGTCAACCCTGACTATTGGCAAACAGTAAATCGTCCTTGTATAATCTCTGTAGCCTTTCTGCCATAAGATTGTATTTTGTATTTCAAAAGTCTGTTTTTCAAAGCAGAAGTATCTAGTTGCTCACACAGGAGTGATGGACTCCTGCATTATCTAAAACTGTGTGGACAATGATAAAACATCAAAAGACTTAGAAGTATCTCAGATATATTTGCAGATTAGGTTTGGCTCTTCATTTTTCAGTGTCTTAAATTCATCTAGGTATCTTCCTCCTGTGCTTTTCCAGAACAGTGGCGTTTAGTCGCACCGAGACGGCCTGGCAACTGGCTTTACCCGTCCCCAGCAGTTGCAGTGTAAACCTAATTTGCTTTTATCTGTTGATTCAGCATGTGGGCATGCACCATCATATAATCTTCCAGTTTCTAAAAGTGGTTTGGAATTGGGCTTTTGGGAATCTTTACACTTGTGTGAGTCAAGGTCATTTCTAGTGAATGAGGAAGACAAGAAATATGTAGTGAAGCTGATGTCCATTCACATTGTCAAGGGAAATGAGCAGCTCTTTGCTTCCTAGGCTGGCGTGTTCACTTTCTTGCTCCCCGTTTTAGATCTTCTATTTCCATAGGACTCTAAACGAAGGGCTGTTGCAGGATGACAATAGAGCTGCATCCTTTCTGGGCAGATAGTCTGCTGTTTAGTTACCTAAACGTGGACTTTGAAAGGTGCTTCTGATGTCTCTGTTTATTAGCAATGAACTTGAGAGCTGTTTCGATAGTAAGCAGCATCCGAAGTGGCCATTCAGTGCTCCAGCTTCGGGGTGCAGGGGAAACTAAACTGCTGAAACTAAACTTCAGGCCATCCTGCACAATTGCAGCTTGGAACGTCTCCGTAAGGATGCTATCCTTAAGCAAAAATTTCTGCTTGTGCTGCAGCGGAATGTGGCTGTCTCTTCTGAATGCGTACAGTTTATTTTGTGGCGAGTTTTTTTCACATGCAGCACAGACTTGTTTTAAAGTCTGCGTCCCCAGACTTGCTCCAGGGATGGTTGCTGCCCCTGTCTCCCGAGGCTTTACTGCTCCTTCCTCCTTGATTCCAACTGCCTCTCGTGCTTCTGGAAAGGAATTGATCGAGGCTTGGAGGAGATAGGGAATCTGCGAGGGCGGTGGCAACTTTTGCACGACCGCAGGCTGTTCTCAGGGTCCTGCCGAAATGGGCGTCAGAGACACTCTTCTCAGCTGCTTGGGTAACGCACTTTGGGAACGGCAACATCCGGCATTCGCACCGCCTGATAGGGTGAAGAGTGTCATGGTGCTGTGATTTGATGCTAGAATAAGACAGAGAGGAAGTTTTTCTGCCATGTACCTGATGAGGGAAATAAAAGAATCCAGTAGACCTAAACCTTTTAGATAGTTTATACAATAGCTCATTTTACAAAGTACTTGCAAGTATCTGATGGCAGTTCATGTTAAGCATGAATTTGCCGTATGAATGAGTCCAGCCTACTTGTTAAAAGTATGAACTGTTGCATTGGAATGAAATGGCTTATAAGAGCATCTGAACGTTTTTGGAGATGCTTCTGTTTAGGTTGACTGCAGTGTGTCTTTTTCATAAGGTATTTGACGTTTTAGAAGCTGCCTTAATTCCATAAATGGCCCCTTGATATATTGCAGCACGTGATACCTGAAGTGTTTCTTCCCCCCACCCCACTGTAAGCCAAAAGTCGCAATGCTGCACTCAAGACATTAAGAACACAAAGAAAACAAAGGAGCGCTTGTCTGTTCTTCCCAGCAGTTGGAAGTGCCTTACGGTATCATGTCTTCCACAAGGAGATCTGTAGCTCCATTAAGAGAGTCTTGGCAGTGCTCCAGGAGTGTTGCTCCGCGAACGTGTGGGGCAGCCAGCCCCCGGCTAGCCAGGGCCTCCTGCCGCCCCTGTGCTGCTGACAGCGGCCCAGGAGCCACGTTCTCACTGCACATGCGGCGTGGACGCTGCACATATGCATGCCTGTTTGTGTACGCGGGCTCCTGAGGAAACGAGGCCGGGGCGCCAGCAGCTCCCACAAGCAGTGGAGGAAAATAGGGAGGGGGGAATGGCAGAGAGACCAGAAGAGGCTGTGCCGACCGTCTGTTGCTGCTGCTGCTGCTGTTGCGTCTATAGCACCTCACATCCGAAGCTCTCTGGGTGGTTTATCCAATCCATAAAACAAACAGTAAAAATCCAGCGAAAACCTCAGAAAAGATGTCCAGTTTAAAATGGTTGAAAACAAGCAGTGCAAAGAATGAAAATAAGGGTAGCTCTGCAAACACGGGTGATCGCCATCAGGCCCCTGGGTGGCCGACTGAGCCTTTAAAAGCCTCAGGAAAGAGGCCTGTCTGAACCTGGCACCAAAAAGATGGAAGATTTGGCGCCAGCTGGGCTGCAGTAGAGAAGGTGGGGGCCACCACCAAAGCGTCCCCTCCCGTCATTGCCACCCTCCACACTTCCCTCGGGGTTGGCGCTCAGAGGAAGGCCCCAGAGGTTGGTCAAAGTGTCTGAGGAAGGTCATGGTGGGATGTTGAGCTGGTGACGTTGACTAGATCCTTCCTTGCGGTAGAAAACGGAAAGGGCTTCCTCGAACGCTTGTGTTGACACAGTTGTGTTCTTGTTCCGGCAGAGCCAAAAGGCAAAGTGTGGCATGTTACCATGGAAGGACAACACAATCATCCACACCATCTAGGGGACCAGAACAACCCACTCTGCAAATTGGGAAGCCAGGAATACCAGCATGATGCACAAGTAAGCAGCCATTTTTCTTTCTTTCCTGGCTTGTTGCCTTGAAGGTTTTATGGTCGTCTGAGTCAGCAGCTTCTTGAAGAAATCCAAAGTTTTAGGAGCTAGGCAGCCCAATTAATCCTCTCCCTGCTCCACTGCTCTGCCAATATTAAAATCTTTCTGCAGAAAAAGAAATCCAACTTTCTGAACTATACTTTAAGCAAGTGGTCTTTGCCATCAGAAGGAATGCCTGAGATCAGTTGTGACTTTTCCCTTTTTTCTTCCCTTTAAAAAGTCAGAGTAATGCAGTGGTTGGAGTATCTGCCCAGGACTGGGGAGAGCCATGTTCAAATCTCTCAGCTATGAAATTCAGCCACCTCGAGCCATTCATTATTTCTCAGACTAAGCTACCGCAAAGGGTTGTTGTGAATATAAAAGTGAGACAGTGACACCATGTATGTCGCCTCCAGCTACTTGGAGGAAAGGTTGCCTATACCTGTAATTAAGGTGGGGGGGATTAAAACACATGCAGGTGTATTGTTAGAATGTAAATGTAGTTGAGGTGATGCTGTAGTCGTGGGAATCACGAAGCCAGTGTGGTGTCGTGGTGAAGAGCATGGGACTGGGACTCAGGCGATCTGGGTTCGAGTCCTGCTCAGCCATGGAGCCAACTGGGTGACTTTGGGCCAGTCACAGACTCTCAGCCCAACCTACCCCACAGGGTTGTTGTTGTGAGGATAAAATGGAGGGGGAGATGTAAGCTGCCTTGAGCCCTTTGTAGGAAAAAGGCAGGATATAAATCGAAAATAAATAAATAAGCTCAGTCGCTGTACCATGACATTATGTTGTGAACCACCGAGAGACTGAAGAAAAAGCAGAAGACGGAATAAATAGCGTAGCTCCATTCAGTTCTCTGTAGGTGGCAAGTGCTACATTCTTCGTTCCTTCCACGATTACCACTATGCATAGAACAGAGCAGGGATGAGAGAGGCGTCGTAGGGCCACGATTCTTATTTTCCTTCTCCATTGGAATGGTGGCTGGGGCTGATGGGAGACAAAGTCCCCCAGTGTCGGGAAGGCCCCACACTTCCTTCAGTTCTAGAGCAAAGTTAGAGAAAAGTGTGCAGACAAATGAATATCTGAATAATTGCTCATATTACTTCCCAGGCAACTCTTGAGATTTTTTTAATTAACCAAAACCCAACTTCTGCCTAAAGTCAGCAACTAGAACAAGGATATGCCCACGGCTGTGACTTTCCAACCCGTCCAGGCAGCCGCTTTCTCTGGATGCCTTCCCTCTTTTGCCCCAGTCTTGTCTTTGCTACTGCTTGATCGGTTTCTCGTCTCAGCTTCCATTGCAGCTATATCAGCTAGAGCAGTAAGGACATGCCTGGTGTTTTTCAGTGACTAAGAGAGATCTATGCCAGTCTTTTGCACCAAGTGAAAGAATTAGTAATGCGTGCCAAAAAGTCCCGGTCTGGTACTCGTTCTCTTAAACAGTGGGCGTATTTCATTACGAATTGGTGAAGGCTACTCCTGGAAAAGCAGCAACATCCAGGCTGAGAACGTCTGCAAAGCTGCTTCATTAGGGTAGCAGAAGCAAAGCGCAGCCTTGAGATTTGCGAAAGCAGTGAGCTGCCTGGAAGCACATGGTGCGCAGCGCTGCACCAAAATACCCTGTGTGAGTTCAGCCCCCTCCCCTAATGCAGCAATTTGTCATATTAAGTCATTTAATAGTAATTGATATCCTCGAATTAGCCAAGTTACATTTTGAGCAATTAGGGTTAATTACAGTCTCATTTGGCAGGATGGAGCCCATGTAATTATTTCATGAGCAAGATTAGGACGTATTCCACAGCAGTTACATGCAAGGCAACTTAAAGCACATGTTGGAATTTGTAATGGCACCGTTAAGTGTAATTGGTGGCAAATAATTTGGTGTTTTCCTCTTGGCCTGATGCTGGGGTTGTCACATGTGGTCATTTTTAATGTGTGTTTGGCCTCTTCCATCCTCCGTTGAACATATAACCGACTGGAAATGGAAGCTGGAGAGCAATGAAGGTGATTAAAGGTTCAGAAAATACATACGTCCTGAAGAGAGACTTTAAAGAACTGGAACTGCTGGGGAAAGGATAAGGGAGGGTGTGATTGTAGGTTGTGCACCTTTTGGAGGCCTTTGTTGGAGAGCAGAAAGTATTGGCCAGCATCCTCACAGCGGAACAGTATGCTGTGTATTTAGGATGTTGTGAAACACATTAGATTAGACACCGAGAAACCTTTTGACTGTAGCAAGACTTGGGCGGTAGCGCAGATTATCTCAGGGTTCTTCCCTTGCCTCGAAAAAGGACTCATCCCATTCCTTCTGTTACGTACCTGCAGTCTTGTTGCTGCATTTGGGTAAATGACTGATTGCATGCATTTATTGCTGAGTTACTGGGATGGAATTGGCTGTGATTTTCTGATGCTTTCTGCTTATATAATTGATTGTTGCCTTTAATATCTTCATACTGGTAAGCGTGAGTTGGCAGGAATAATGTGGGATTAAATGATCACAAAAGCTCAGTGGGCTTATCATCCAGTTGGGTGGGAAAGAGCTTTTTGGAAAGTGAGCAAATAGGATATACTTAAATTTCCAGAAAGAAGAAAATACAGCTCATGCAATCAAGCATAATTAGCATGGAGTCCCTGAAGAGCTGAAGAGTAATGGCACCAACATTCATTCTCACACTTCTGCTCAAAAAAATTTAAGTAACCACTGTGTGGGATGCCTTCCTCAGGAAAGGATGTTTTGGTGTCCTCCGTGGATAGTGACTTCTTGAAGGAGCTGGTTGTCTTTGTGGTTTTCTCCCCATTTTACTGACACGCAGAACCCTTTGACTCAGCTAAATCTCTTTTTGACTTTCCCAAAATGGGCCTCCCTCCAAGCCACGGAAGAGCCGACCTCTGCAGTTGCCACCCTGCCAGGCCAGCAAATGCTTGTCCCGAGATGGCTTTTTGTCATGGTGCACCTTGCATGCGCCCAGGACCTGCAGGGGCCTTTACTTCATTCCCTCCTTCTCTGTTAGTAATGCTTGCTGCATCGGTCATCTCCAGCCATTCCCAGCTCGCTCTTAGCCCTGCTAATACGAGGGCCGCGACTCAGTACAAAGAAGACTTCGGTGCCTCTTCCAGCAGGCCTCCGGGGGCGTGCAGACAGCTTTAGCGACATCTGAAGGTGCATTTGTGCGCGCCGGGAAGTTCTTTTTACTGACCATCGGCCTTGGCCCATTGTGCTGGGTACATCTTGTGCTGCAGGAAAGTATAAATCTTGCAGTCCGTCAACAGGTTCTTTGAAGCTTTCCCAATGGCCACCGGTGTATCGTTTGTTTCTAGTCTTTCCAGTCCTCTTCCTCTCCATAATGAGACCCATAGAAACTGCTCATCGCACCCGAGTCATTGAAGGAGCATTTCAGTTTATTCCAGAATCCATGCCTGCATTTGCAGAATATCCATATTCTAGAGTCAGGATTGGACTGTGCCAGACATCTTGAGTCCAGAGGTGGTGCTTCCCAGTTGTCTCTTAAGAGAAACACATTTTTTGCGAAAGTACACAATGGGAGAAACATTTTTAGTGGATTTCCTCCTTCAGAACTCCAAGTTGGTGTCTTGTGAGACATCACCTTCATCATCTTGTACGCCCTGACATAACATGTCATGGCAAACTCTTCAGACTGTCTCCACAAAGTCCGTGTGATCATATTGGATCATTGCATTGAGATACACAGAAGCAGCTCCTTTCCTCGAGCTTCTGCATCATGCCTGAGAGTTATCTTCTTCTCCTTTATGGTGAGGTTTAAGTATCCATGAGCTGCTTTCAAGATCTTGTGATGCTTTTTGTTACCAGCAGCTTGGCCCTCTCTCTTAGCCACCCACATGAGCAGGAAAAAATGCTATTTGTTTGCTTAAGTTTGATATATTAAAAAAGGGAGGAAACTTCCGGAGTCCTCTTTTTCAGAGAAGCTGCTCTGCTGGAACCGATCTGCTGAGCAGTTCAATGGGTGCGATTGCGCTCAAGAAACCCGTCGGGTTGCATTCTGAGTTTGGCACACTTCGAGCTGCCCCATTGAAATCAGGGACTTAAGTGCTGTTGATCGCAGTGGTCTGCCTTGAGAATGACAGTGTCTGAATACAAAGCATGCCTTTTTGGTAACTTTGGTGCAAAATAAATGGTGGGAAACACAAAAGGTTTGGGTTGCTATTATAATTTGCAGGAACAGTTACCAGCTTAGATCAACCCCATGTTATATGTGTGGTTGGTGCTCTGACGCCTTGAGTGCAGTCCTGATGGAAATTCAGGTTATCGGCTTTGTGACTTGCAATTATTGGCGCTGCCTTGATTTTGATCGATTGGATTGTTGACATTGACGATAGATTTCATCTCTAGTATTCTGAAAAGGCGTATATTATTTTACTATGCTGGTCTGTGACGAATAAGTCGAATTGACACAATTCAGTGTTCTGTCATTCATGAAGAAATTTTAATCTATCCAGGGAGTCCCAGTCTGTAAGATAACCCCTCCAGAGCCTTAAAACTTGGGTGCGCCGTCATCCACAAATAAGGTCTCGAGAAGAACCTTGGTTGACCCAGCCAGCACCTCGTCCAGTGCCACATTCTGTTCTTACAGTGGTCCCAGTGGGACGCCCACAAGCCGGATGTGAGCCCAGCAGCCCCCTCTCACTCGAGTTCCCTGCCAGGCATTCAGAGGCATCCGGCCTCCGCCACTGGAAGTAATAGATGCCGCGATGGGTAGTAGCCATTAATATCGGTCCCCTCCCTCATTGTTCATAATTTGCATTCTGCATGACTGTGCAGAATTGGGAGGGCGCTGCGGTAGCTGCTTTGTGCTTTTCTCCCTTAAGGTGGAGGAGGGAGGAGACGTTTGGGAAAGGGTACGAAGTTAGAGCATTGACAGATAAATTGGTTACGTGTCACAGTTTGTTGAAAACTTGTCCCCAAAGAACTGAGGAGGTGGCTTAGAACCATTCCTTGCCACTTGCCTGCTGTATTTATATTTAGTGTTTTAGTTAACCTTTTCCTTATGACTCACAGTAGAACTTTCTATTTAGAACTTTTCTAATTAGAGTAAGTGAATATATAACCGTAGAATAGGCTGAGTTGCCAACCCAAGGCTGCCTCGGTATAGCTGGGAAGAAGGAGAGTGCTTTGGGCTTCAGGGTGGCATAACTCAGAAGAGAAGGTCTTTAAAAGCCCGCATGCTCTTATTTCTACTGTCCACTGACTTAGTCCCGTTACTTTACTTACAGCACCTGATTATTTTTGGTTTGTACTGGTTTAAATCAGGTTTGTGCCAGTAGCCTAATAAAAGCGGCTTCTGAAAGAGTTCCAGCGTGGGATTGTCTGTCCACAAGCATGCGCTAACTTGAGGCACTGCAGCCCCTTTCATACCTGGTGGAAGACGCCTTATACCACCATGTCGGGCGATTTGCCCACTGACTCGGTAGTCTTCCCTGTAAAGAGCCCAGAGAGCTTTGGCTGACGGGAGGTATGGACATGTCATGAATGCATATGAGTATACAAACACACAGTCCTGTTGCGAATAGGGCCTTACGCTGGGCTTACTGCCCTGCATGTGGGATTTCTGTCCATAGGTTTCCTCCGAGTCGAGCAGGTGTTTTTCCTTCCGAGCAGCGGCACGGCAGGCGCCGGGGTGGTCGCTCCGTGCTGCGCCGTGGCTTTCCCAGTCCCCACGCGGTGGCCATGCAGACGGCGCACATTGCAGGGCAGGGCAGCTGCATCCTGCAGGCCGCGCAGGGCCTTTCATTGGCTGCATACTGTGGTGGAAGCATTTTGGGCAGAAGCGCCTCTTCTTGTCCTCATCCTTCACATTGGTGTCCTCCTTCCTTCCCTGTAACACACGGGGCCAGTAAATAGTAAAACACCTTGCCGGTACTTGATCATGCTTTTAAGCTGTGATGTCTGGATGCTGTAATGTGACCGGTGTCAGAGGCGAGCCCAGCTGCCACCCCCAACGGCTCTGTGAGGGTTGGGGTACCAGGGCCACACGCTGCTCCGCCTGCCCCGGAGCAGATGCAGCCCGTCCCCTGTCTGGTTCTGCAGCCGCCCGGTGCCGCCACTGCCAGACAGGACGGGGATGCATTTTGCACGGAGGAAGCCAAGTGGGGTGCGGCAGCTTGGTCAGTGGCTGCAGCAGCACGGGGAACCTCTGAGAAGTGTCCCGAAGTGGCGCTTGGGTATTTCGGGGGTGGCTGTCACTGGCTCTGCAGGGGCTTGGGCCACCCCTGAGCTCCGAGCGTCACCTGAAGCCAAGGGCGACTTACAGGCCCCAGGGCAAGCGGCGGCTCTGCGTGGGGACTCACAAGCCCAGCGGCTGGGAGGCATGCTCACGTCTGGGCAGTGTGGGGAGTGGAGGTAGCCAAGGGGTGCCTAGCAAGCGCAAGCACCCCCGCCGCAGCCATCGCCTCTGCTCCGCGCTCACCCCAGCAAGTGTGGAGGCGCAAGTGTGCAGCGCGGAGCGGGGCCAGCGGGCTGCTCCCCTCAGCCTGCTCTTCCGCCCTCGGCACATTCACTGCGGCCCCCGCTTTTCGTAAAGCCCATCTGAACATGGCGGGGAAATGGGCTGCTCTAATCAATAGGGAAGTTTTTGGCATGTTTCGCTCTGACCTGGGTGTGCTCGTTGTTCGTGCTATAATTTAACATTCTCTCTTTGGGTTCCATTGCCTTAATTAGGTTTGATCGGTTATGATAGCAAAGGCAAATCTAGGTCATTGCATATGTAAATATGCAGCTGTAGTCTTGGCGGATGCCAGAACGTATCAACTGAGGCGTCCAGTCGTCACCCAGCGCTAATGGCGCTTGGCAAGCCAAGCCACCTTGCGTGGCTGAGCCCTCCTGCAAGGGGCTGCAACTGGAGTGCAGGGTACTGTGCAGACTTACTTTTCAGGCAAAGCCACCAGATGAAAAAAAAAAATTCCGGTAGGCCACAGGAAAATAAGTATTTATTTAATCCAGTTTGCTCACCTTCCTCCTCCTGTCTTCGTTAAACAGAGGCATCTGACATCATATCCGTATCGCTGCACCTTAGCAGACTTCCAGATAGAAAAGAAGATTGGGCGAGGGCAATTCAGCGAAGTCTACAAAGCCACTTGCCTTCTGGACAGAAAACCGGTGGCTTTAAAGAAAGTGCAGGTAAGGTTTGGGCAGCCAAGGAAAGACTGGCTGAACATCTGTGTTGCTGGCACAGGCAGACTCGTCTAGCATGTTCCCCTCATGAGCCTTCAACCTGTAGTTTGTTCTGATTATTTAAGATCAAGATCTAAGCACCAAATAATTTTGATTTTGTAATTATCCATCACACTGTTTCCCAGAATCAGCTTAAAAACAGTAGAAATCCACGACAGTAACATGGCAAGATCAGTAGTGAGAAAAACAACAGAAATAACAGTACAGAACAAAGCAGAATGATGTTACCACAGAGAAAATTGTTAAAAAGCACTTCAGCACTGATGCAGACTGCAAAATCCTATTTTTAAAAAAATGGGAACTCCAAACAGATGGGTCTTTATAGCCAGTTTGAAGGCCTGCAGAGATCTCCTGCCTCGTGGAATTCCCCATGACTCTCAAGCCCGTTCTTGTTCTATCGTCATCATTGTTTCGGGTTCTGTGCTACATGAAGTTGACTGAATTTGAGATCTGGCATGGAGCTATTTTGAAATGTCTCTTTAGTTGTGGTTCACCCACTTACATATGACTCCGTGAGTTGCCCTCTGCTTACCAGAGTGAATTTGCTTCTAATTAGTGCAGGGGGATATGCAAAAGAAGGCAATTCATTTTGTCAATAGAAAAGAAAATAATAGCGTAATTTGCGAAGCGCTAGTTCAGTGGTGGGGAGCCCATGGCACAGCAGCCGAGCATCGGATAACAGCGCGCATAGCCATGCGCACGCTTGGAAAGGAGTGGCGGCACCAGGCGATGACGTCACAAGCCACGACTCATTAGCCGCAACTCGTCCAAGCTTTCGTATGGCTGGTCAGTGCACTGCCAAGGATATACATATATTTGCTTGGACTGGCTGTGAGTTGTTTTTTCTAAACTAAAACCTTGGCATTCAGGTCTTATTGCCGTGTTGGCACTTTGCGATAAATAAGTGGTTTTTGGGCTGCAGTTTGGGCACTGGGTCTCTAAAAGGTTCGCCATCATTGCACTAGATCATTATCTGTTCTCATTTCCCTGGCTCTTTTTAGCATGTTCTTAAGATTTGCATTTATTTATCTGCCATATTTACTTTGGCTTGCGTGTGTTTGTTTCAGGTGAAGAAACTGATGAGAGAGTAACAAAATATGTTTCTCTGCCCCCTCCCCATTCTATTTCTCTGCTAAATGTGGTTGCTGCATTTTCTGCTTCATTCCCTGCCTTTTTAGATAGTTAGTGTCACAAGAAGTTGGAGGTGTGTGTGTTTAGAAAAAGGATTACAGCAAAGAAAACGCGTTGGGCTTTATCTACAACAACCTTCAATCTGGCGCCCGTCACGTGTGTTGGGATTTCTGCTGCTCCAAAATTATGGGATTCTCAGTCCAACACATTTGGATGGGAAAGGCCAAACTAGAACTTTCAAGGTGTGAGATCTTCTGTAGTATTTTCTTGACTTTCAACCTCTTATCTTTTACTCCTTTCCAAAGATATTTGAAATGATGGATGCCAAGGCTAGACAAGATTGCATTAAAGAAATAGATCTTTTGAAGGTAAGAATGTCTTCAAACCCTTTTTGTTTTGGGAGTGGGAGAGGTTATCTTTTTCCTTTGTAACCCAAGGGGTATGCAGCTGCAGTCTTTCTCAGACTTATTTTTTCATCTCGGTTCTGTTTAAAAACCATTTTTAAACAGTGAAGTTAATGTTCATTGCAGAATACAAATAGCAGTTTATTTTTAAGTCTTGTGTGACACCTTCCATTCTATGTCACCTTATTTATTTCGATCTTAAAGAAACATCGCCACAATAAATGTTAATGAAGCCAGCGTTTGTGTTACGGCCAAGTTTGCCAAAAGGGCAGTGGATGTCTGTGTGATTTAGGGGTTGCTTTCAGGGTCGTGCAGGAGTGTTGGGTCGTGTATTCTTGCTTTCCTACTCTCCAAGACATCTTCCCCAAATGAGTAAGTAGAAAACGTATTAGGGCGCTGGTCTAACATACTAGACGGTTTGCTTCCTTTCAGGCGAATTGTTTTGAGAAACCACCATTAGGTTTCTGCTCTATGCAGCACCACTCAGGCTGCAGGCTGGGCTGAAAAGGACTCTCGGGAGTCTCAGGGAATTGCTCCGGATCGCCCTTCCTCGCGTGGCTCTGTGGCTTTTCCTCTGAAGCACGCGACAGCCCGCGCAAGCCACCCGGCGGCCTGCAGCAAGTTCCCCTGAGGGGTGCGTCAAAGGACTGGGCTGCTGCCGCGCACCGATTTTTGGTCAGGGAGCATGCCTCTTCCCCTTACTCAAAGCATAAACAACCCGCTTGGTGTGCGGGCCACACAGAGCTGAACAGGTGTGCTCGGCCTTTCCCTGCTCCCTCAGCCAAGGAATGCCCGACTTCGTGAGCATCAGGGCTCCCCGCAGCTGCTTGCTGGGCTCACCATATGACGAGGTTCCAGCAGAGCTGCTCCGCCTGAGCGGCTAAGGCAGCCAGCGAGGAGGACTCCACGGATGCCAATCTGGAGGAGCTGCAAAGAGCCTCTAATGCCTTTAGGTCCCGACAGTCCCTGGCAGAGTGGGGAGGGGGGCCCCCAGTGTGGTCCTGGGTGTATTCAGGCCGAGATGTCCACATGTGTTAAGATCACGGGCGAGTGCGATCAGAATGCTCGAGATGGCAGGGGAATCGAGACGGTGGGCCATTATCATCCCCACCGCGCAAGATGTCCAGGGGCAACGGCAGATCTTCCTATGTCAAGTTCTTCAGGGAGCCAGATGTTAAGTTGTGAATGTTGTATTAGCCGGCTGTGAAGAGAGAAGTGAGAGGAGATGATCTGCGGAGATAATTAGCACTTTCCTCTCTGGTGCACTCTGCGTTTTCCAAAGGCGTATTTCTTCCTTCCCTGGCTTAATTGATTCTCCCACATACCCTAAAGTCGTCCATGTTTGATTCGGATAAGGACAGGTCCAGGGAGCCTTGGAACAAATCAGGACTGGCTGAAAGGGCTGCGTCCGGGTGCGCACGGTGTCATCTTTTAAGGCTCGGGTCTGCAGCTTGTCTGCTTTACTGTGGGGTTACTTTAAGCAAGGAAGCGGAGTTGGAAATGGGGAGGAGGCAACCGGATCGGTCCAGAGAAGGCAGCTGCCTGGAAGTGGCTGTTCAGGAGCAGCCTCTGCTTGGCCTGGGGCACCCCTGTGTTCTTCAGCCAAGACGCCTGGTGCTAGCTCTGAGAGTACTTCCTGTACGGATCCCTCGTCCAGGGAGCTGATGTCTTGAGCTCCCGCTGTGGAGCGGCTTGCCTGCCTGGATCTGGAGCCTGTCCCACTGCGCCCCGCGCTTTGAAAGCACAATCAGGAATCACGGAGGTCAGGCTCTGCTGGTCAAACGCTGGCATGAGTGCCGCTCAAAGCATGGGAGAAAGCCAGCTTGATAAATCGTACTGTGCCGCAGATGCCCAGGGAGTCGGTCTATCAGTACCTGCTGCCTATCGGGCATCCCTTGCACCCCTATCAAAGCGCTTGAATTAATGATCCAACCAGGTGCGACAGATTTTGCCCAATCATCCCGTTCTGTGCAGGTGAATGTGCCACAGCAGAGATGTTAACGTCAACTCGAGAAGAAGTTTTTAATGACATGGTGCGGGTCAGCATTTTCAGATAATTTGGTGCAGTATCCCGCTGAGTTTAGGAGAGCGGCTTGGTTCAAGGTTTGGTTGAGAGGCAAGGGAGGGTTCTGAGCGAGTCGTTTCCATCTGTCCGTCAGCCTCAGCGACTGGAATGTGCTTTGTTCCATCCTACGCAGCAACTAACTTGTCAAATCAACATCCGCAACTCTTCTTTTGTTAATTGACAGCCCCCCTGACAATTGCCCCTCCCCACTTATATGCAAACCACTTCATGCAAACACTTTGCACCGCTGTAGGAAAACAGAGGTAGGGGAAATGAATATTTCACTCTCGTTGAATCTTCAAGGATATGCTTGCAGTCAATGCAGATTTATGGTAATTATTATTATTATAATAACATTTCTATGCCGCCCCTTGCCGAAGCCTCGGGGCGGCTTACAACACAATAAAATACATACAATTTGCTCCTCTTGCCCCTTCATAGCTTTGAGATGGACCCAAAAATCTATTTTAATGCCCTCAGTTGTGGCAGAAGTTATGACTACTTGTTGGTAGTAGCATAACTCAAAGTAATGAATCCTAAAGTTCGCTAGTTGCGTTTGAGCCAGGATCTGTATCTGTGTTTAGACGTGCAGTATTGCCTGAAAGTTAGCAACAAGCGGGGAAAGGGGCAGTATACAAATTGCTTAACAGTTCGGGTGGAGATGTGGTAACTTAAACAAGGCAAAATCAAACGAGACACCATTTTCAACAGTTAGTAATTATGAGGCTGGGGGCCCGTTTGCTTTCCGATATGCTCTAGATGACGAAGCGAAGACCCACTCTTGGCAAGGCTGTGCCTGCGGTTAACATCCCGAGCGCTTCGCTGGCTTGTGATGGTACCAAGAGGTCCACATACGCTTGCTTCGGTCTGTAAGCTTGCCAGGAGGAAACGCTGCTCCCTTTCAAGACCCGTTTCACTGTTCTTGGATCCCTTCCCACTCCTGAAGCCTATATTTAAATTTGATACTTTGACCAAAGTGCCCATCCTGGTCAAGACCTTTCCAGGAAAAAGTGCTTTTGCCTCTCCAGATCTGTTTTAACTAGCATTTTACCCCATACTCTGGTCTTCGTGGGGAGGAAATGAAGATGTGAAAGAATGACTGACTAGGAGTGGAGCATAAATATATTATGCTCGCAGTACATTAATTGAGCGACCCTTCTGCCATTTGGGAACCAGCTAGTTAAACCTCCTGGAGATTAAACAGTGGGGAAAGCAAGGGAAAGAGGAGCACCGCTCCGCTTTGCAGCGAGGAGAGGGAAGGCAGGCAGGCAGGCAGCCAGTAATGCGGTGCTAATCAGCAGGCCGCTTGTCAGCATCGCCCCTTCCAGTTAGTGGGCGCTGCCTCTTTTGCATGCCTCTGGCTGACAGCAGTGCTGTGCATATACATCAGGCACTCGGTTCCATCAAACTTTAGGCGGCATTAAAAAAATGAGAGGGTGGCAGTCGCCCAGGCCAGAGTGCTGATGTGCATTTAAAAATAAGCCAGAGTGAAGAGTCTTCCGCTGGTTTTTTTTCCCTAGCCAAAGGCAGAAATGTAAAATAATCCCCCTTTTTTACAAGCCTGTCTTCACTGCTGTTGTTTTTCATGTGCCTGCAAGTATTACAGGTGGACACAGTCCTTGGAAAGTGTCCAGGTGGGAGCTTCGAAGATGCCGTTTGCATTGGGATGTCTGGCTGGGGAGGCTGCACTTAATGAATTAGGCTAGCTTGGGAGTTTTAGCTACTTGGTTCCACGGAACAGCGTCTAGATAGACTTGACTAATTGTAGCATCTCGTAACAGTACCGTGGGGACAGGGTCCTTCTTTGTATAAGCAGTATTAAGAATGGAAAGAATTGGAGTGGTTGGTTTTTATTTTTAATATTTATAATACTTTTACTTGGTGTTTTCACAAGCAACTTACGTTCTGTGCAGCTCACAAAAAAACGGTGTATGCATGCCATTAAAAGAATGGCATATAACTATTAGCATACAGATAACATTCCAGTCAATAGAAAATCAATAAACAGTGTTTCAGTATCAGGTACAAAAACACAGTAATGTATCAATAAACTTAATTGCATGATTTTGTTTCCTGGAAAATATCAAACTCTGTGCTGATAAGGAGAATATTGATAGATATAAATCAAATCATGGGAGCCAAGGTGTGTGTTCTCAGATCACCAAGGAGTCCTGCTTTCTCTTGCTTCTGAGTAACTGTTTCCTTTCCCACTTTGGTGTCTGCCTCCTTTGAGTTCTCGTTGCAGCTCGGTATTCCGCATGTTCATGCATTCTGATCCATGTATTTGCAGCAATTGAACCACCCCAACATAATCAAGTATTTGGATTCATTTATTGAAGACAACGAGCTTAACATTGTCTTGGAACTGGCGGATGCAGGTGACCTCTCTCAAATGATTAAGGTAAGGATTCCGTCGCCAGAGCTGGAAAATCATTCCGAGATGTAGAGAGGGAGTTAAGGTTACTTGTGAAACAGATTCCTGAGGCTGAGTATCATCTTTTGCTGGAGCAAAGCAAAAAGAAAGGGAAACCAAGTGCCCTGGGGAGAGTTGAAGAATGCCTAACTACTCAAGAGTGATAAATGCAGCACAGCCTCATATTGAAAAGCATGCGAGGTTCTAACGGGTGACAAGAAATGCCATGCCGGATTTTATGGAATTTCATACACGTGGGCAAGTGGGCTGGGAGAGAACGGACTGGACTCCCCATCCCTCTTGCACTCCCGTGGCTTTGCTGCTGACCACGGAAGGGAAGCCTCTCCCGCCTCGTTGGCGAGGCTGGCACGCCGTTTTCACGCGTGGCATGGCACAGAACGGAGGACGTGTCGCTCCAACTAGCACGGAGCTGCTGGCTTCCAGCCTCGCGCAAGCAAGGAGCCGCTGTGGGCGTTTTCATGCTCTTGCCACTCAGAAGGCTGCCTTCAGCCTATCATAAAGGCAAGGAAATAGGAGAATCCTCTGTTTCTGATGGTTTTTCCATCCCCGGACCAGAGGCGACACTGACTGATCTTACTGCTCGGGGCGAAGGAAAGAGCCACACATCCTTGCGAAAGGTGCTCGCTTTCTCAAGCAGAGCAGGCCAGGAACGCCTTTTGTGCTGGTCTTCAAATGACCAGCAGGCGCTGCACTTTTGTAATGCCTTCTAGACCTTAATATTTCAGAGGAGCAGCTCTGTCCTCACCCTCCGCTCAGGAATCCCTGCATGGTGGACGTCATGTTAGCTTAGCTGTAATCAGCTGCTTTTTAATAGTTTGACATGTCAGTCTGGAGATCTGCATCTCCTCTGAGGGCAGATGTAGCCTCTCATGTTCTCTCGTTTTTCCACCACTGATCTGAGATTATCATAAAAAGGCATTTTAGAAAGCTTGCCACCTCCTTTTAGCCAGACACAGGGCCTATATGGGCACTAAGAAACCTCTGGCTTTTAATCTTGGAGCTTTGCCCATGTCCCATTGCTGTGTAAGAGGGAGGTGGTAGCCATTTCAAGGTCTGTTTATAAAACCAACACAAATGAAGCAAGGATGGGCATTCAGGAGTCTTCAAAACACAACAGCGCCCATTTAAAATGTGCTCCCATTCCCGGAAGGGAAGTGAAAAGAAGCTAGAATGGGGGCCGTTGGAGGCCACGTGGATGAGATGTGGGGGCGTGGGAATCCTGACATGCATCTGTTTCAGATACACGGCTGTTCCCCCACTCCCCTCTGAGGATTGTGTGTGTGAAACACACCAGGGTCATACAGTGAGTTGGCTTTTAGTGGGCAGGGTGTGTCAGCAAAGGGTCACTTTCCTAGTCTGATCTACTCCAGGCCCTTGAGCGGGTGCAGCCTGAGAATCTGAATAACTGTCTGTGGTCAAACCAGACATTTCATGCTTTTTGAAAAACAGAGCTGGTATCCATGCTCAAATTGGCGTTGTTCGGCTCCTCTGAACATGCACGTGTCCCTCTTTGTCGGTCAGAAGAGCCCTCCTCGGTGCTCGTTCAACGCAGGGCTTCAGCCGGCCCGCTCCAGCCTGGTCTCCTCCCGGTGTGTTGGGCTACAGTTCCCAGGCGCCAGATTCGGGAAGGCGGCAGCAGTCTTCCTTAAAGGGAACGATGCCAAGAGAATTATCAATAGCAGTTTGTCTGCTCGTGGCATCAGGTCTCAGAACATCTTGTATTCTGGGGAGGGATTAAGAGGAAGAAGACACAGAGCCGTGTTCGCAGAGGAATTCCAGTGCGGACAGGAAGAAAAAGAGAGAGCAAATTTTGTTAAGCACATGAGTTCCTTGTGCTTATCAGCTGAAGCTGAGCTTGCAGCGTCGTGATTCTCAGTCACGCAAGACGTTCCCTTGACTTCATGCCGCTGCGCGTTTACACGTTCCCATGGCTGGGTTTGCCCAGCGCAACAGCCCCTGCAGCAACCCAGCTGGCTTGTTCGAGGGCAGCAAGCTGCCTCAGCAGCCATGGCTCGTCGCACCCGCAGTGCACTCTTGACCAAATCTTTTGAGTGGCAAAAGCCCCTGCATGGCTTTGTAACTGGGACGTGTGGCTGGACCTGTCCCAGGCCAAAGCCCCCTTTTAAGGGTCACTCCATTTGACGGCTGCCTGTCAGCATTTCTCTTTCCCAGCTAGCGTCTCAAGGGAACGTTGCATTTTGTGCTTCGCTGCAGGACTGTCGGGGAGATAAAAAAAGAGGCTCTTGCCACAAGCGAGGGCAGGGCAAACCATTCCGTCCCTTTTCCGTAAGCTCGGATCATTCACGCCTTTTGGAGCGCAGGAGCGATACTCGCTATACTCTGGCAGAACCGTGTTCCCGTGCGGTTGCACAATTATGGCTCAGTTTTTAAAAAAAAGAACAGAAAAAATAACAGCTAAATATTTGCACACAGTGGGTGTGTAAAACATGTTTGCCTGCTACTGACGGACCCTCCATGTGTCACTCGGGCACGGTGAAGGGGCGGGAAGCGGCTGTCAAGACGGAAGTCGTGAAAGCAGCCTGCCCCGTCATGTCCAGGGAAAAGCAAGGGGCGAAGGAAGAAGCCACGTGGGACAGAATTCGCGTATGCTCTCAGAAGGGGGCAGGCACGGGGTCCCCAGGATCCCTGCGGAGGCACGGGTGATGGGGGGGCGTGCAAAGCATTCCCCATTTCCCGCTGGGGGCACCGAGAGCTGCGTGCAGAGCAGCCGGCCCAGCGGGCTCATTGGCAGGGCGGTTGCCCTGTACAGAGGTACCCTCTGCCTCCACCGACTGTGTCGTCCCAGTGGAGTTTCGTGCTCGAAGGGGAGATGTGTCAAGGACAGATACGTGCGGCTGTGCAGCAGCACCCCGAGCACCGCTCCCCCATCAGCCCTTGCAGTGTCGAGTCAGTCCGCTGATGGAGCCGAGGCGTTTTAGGGCACTGTCCCGTGCCCGTTACAGTGGGCAGAAGCCGGCCTGGGACCCCCCCCCCCCCCGTGCTCTGCTGTGCCTTTAGAAAGAACGCCCGTCGCCATGCTGAGGAGGCAGAGAGAGGCCGACAGCGCATACGCATGTGCGTGCACCCCGGCCCCGCCTGTGGCAGGCCCCGTCGCCTCTGTTATTTATAAGCTTTATAAAGCCGGAGTAACCGAGGGTTGCCGGCAGTACAGCCCACTGGAGAATTTTGGCTTTCTGCTAAATGTCAAGAAAATCTTATTGGACATGACATTTAAGAAGATTGCTAATTGTGGACTAGCATCTCCTCCCCTGAAGACTTCAGGAAGACTGGAGCTAGTATTCCTGAGTAAATAATGCGCACGCTGCGCTCGGCTTCAGAGGTGGGCGAGCTGTCCCGCCACTGCCCCCTCGGCCGCGTGGGCCCGCCAGAGGGAGGCGTCCCTGCCCAGGGTGGGTCAGCCCCGGGGAAGCCTCCCCGCTGCAGCCTGCGCCGTGCCCCGCTCCCGAAGTGCTTCCCTTTTGTAATTTCAAGTGGAAATGCCTCGCTTCATGGCGTGGATGAGAACGGACATGGGTGTCACGTGGAGGTGACGGCCGCGTCCGGTGCGCCCAGCGGGGAGGGGACCACTGAGCTCACCTCAGACGAACTTTCGGTGAATGTGCATGGTTGGCGCAGCTGCCCTGTGTCCCCGTCGGTGGGCGCAGCATCGCTGCTCCGGAGAGGAAAGGGCACGGGGGTCGGTTTGCGGGCCCTGCGGGGTCGTCGCCTGCCGTCCCGCGGTGCCGGCAGTTCAGAAGGACGGTTCTGTCCTGGGTCAGGATGTGGCCTCGTGTCTCCGTGGTCGGCTCCGGGCAGAGGCAGGAGTTCAGCATTCTTGGAGCTTAGAAGGGCCTCTGACAGAAGTGCTGCTTGTGGCCACTGCGAGAAGGACGAACCACGGTCACAACCTTCTGTGGCTTGATGTCTTCCACGCCCTTCAGAATATCATCCCCATAAGCTCTGACAGTGGGGACGATGGCTAGGAAGTCCCCAGCGTAGTGGAGAGGGCACCGGGCCGGGGAGGCTGTGCCTGCCCTTAACTTGGCTGTTCCTGAAATGCCTCGGTTACCTGGCTCGGCGTAAGGGCCGGACGATGTGCGAAAGAGGGGATTCTTTTGTTATGTCGGTGGTGGTGATGGACGTCTTCAAGATGTTGGTTTAAAAAAAAAAAAAACCTTTGTTTCTTAAGGCAAAGCACTCCAGACATTCGTTGTTTTGAGGCATTAAATATGTTCTGCAAGGTAATTAATGAGATTAATGCTAATTATAATTGGTGTCCATTCAAAAATGTCAAAGCTATTTAAGCATATTTTTCATAATGCTGCTAATTAGTGAATTGCATAGGAAGGGCGCGCACGCACACACGCACACGGGCGGCAGCAGGGCGTTAGACGCGAAGCCGAGGCCGATCGCCTCCCCGCGCTGGTCTTGAGGGTATCAGAAAGGTGGCCGCCGAAGAACACGCTCGCCGTGACAGGAGGGGGGAGGCGGAGAGGCTCTGCTCTCTTGTTCCGACTGTGTGTTTTTCTCCCCACAGTATTTTAAGAAGCAGAAACGGCTAATCCCGGAAAGAACGGTTTGGAAATACTTTGTGCAGTTGTGCAGTGCAGTTGAACACATGCACTCCCGCAGGGTGATGCACAGAGGTAACATTAATGCAGTCTCTTTTCGCTGAATAATAGTATAATGTTCCAATTAGTAAGCGCCTACATTCAAAAACAATTATGCTGATGTTCAGCCAGTGTGTGTTTAGAGACAGCGGAGCCCGCAAGATGGATTTCTCCGTGCCCCCGACGCCTGGCTGTGAAGCGGGAGCCTGGGCTGCTCAGGAGGAGCACGGAGATGAGCGGCCGCCGGTTGCCATCTCTGGGAGTGGGCGAACCTGTGGCACGGGACCCTGCCCGGCGCCGATGGGCGTGGGGAGCGTGAAGCGGCAGCCCTGCCCCACCTGGGGGTCCCCGAGATCACAAGTCAGGCCACAGAGCCAGTCCCAAAATGGATTCTCCCTCCTCCTCCACAGGCTTTCAAAGAAAGACGCTTTGGGGGGTGCACAGCACATGCATCCAGTATTGCGCCAAATCGAGCTCCCGCCCCGCTCCTCCTCTGCAGTGCTGCGTCGCCATCAGTCTGGACCATCCCGCATAAATGGCGCAGGGAGGCAGGCTGCGGGTCCTTTCCCTGTTCCACAGACGAAGCGGCAGCGCTAGAGGATTCCTTTCCACCGCCCTCCCTAGCTATGCACCCCCAAATTAAGAGGTCAGGGCTGAAGGGGCCCCGGCGTGCTACGAACCCATTCCACTGCTGCTTAGGTCGGAAGGAAGATAAATATGGTTGTCGATTAAAATAATAGTGCCGCTTATAATTTAAGTTCATTTATTGCTGCTTTTCCAAAGTGTTAAAGACTTTGAGGAGGAAAATCCACCTCCAAAGCGCAACAGCACATGTTCTGTTGTGACGTTTCAGGCCGGGCTTTACACAGGTTTCCTCTTCCCTGCGAGGAAAGGGAATTTTTCTTCTACTGGTCTGCTGAATATGCCAAGAACTGCCTCCTTGGACTGGGGCTGGGAGAGGGGCTGGGTCTGACCAGTGCCCCACATGGATAATGTCTGAAGGTCTGTGAAAGAACCCACTCTGGAATCCCCTGCAATGCGTGAGGGTTTTTTTAAAATGGAAAAGTCAGTGCAGAAATGGTTCCTTGAAAGTGTTTGGAAACAATTGTCCTTAACCCCAAAATTCAGCTAGTCTCACAATTAAAGCATTTGCAGGATACGTCCATGCAGGGCAGAGGTCACCTTTTATTTTTCCCAGTCAGTGGCCTTCCTGTGCTCAAAAGGATCCCACCTTTGCATGCCCACGAGGTTTTTGGAATCCATAAAAGTGCATGAGTTCCACAAAAACCTTTCACAGAACCCCAAAGGTAATTCTGTCCCCCACCAGATTCAAAGGAAAACTTTTCGTCTTTGTATGTATTTATTATGTGATGTAATAAAGCTTATTTTCTAAATTAAATCTTAAAAAAAGAAGAAGAAAAGAAGAACTGCCTCATCCTGGCCCAGATGCAGTTGCTCTGCTCTCGAGGGGGAAGCTCTGGATTGCTGGAGCTGGAATGCCGACTTGATGTCTCGCCCTCTCCCCTTTCTTTCAGACATAAAACCAGCCAACGTGTTCATAACGGCCACGGGAGTCGTGAAGCTCGGGGACCTCGGACTGGGCCGCTTCTTCAGCTCCAAAACCACTGCTGCACATTCCTTAGGTAAGCTTCGCGCTTCCGTTTGGGAGCGAATTCTCTGTTCTGTGTCCTCGAGCTAAAACGTGCAAGGTGCTTCTTTGCAGCAGTGCTCCTGTTGGCCCAGTATAGATTGCTTTCTCCTCTGAATAGCGGAGATCTGGCATCGTGTTTAGAGGAGGGGTGAATCCGTTCCTCTGCAGACTGGAAAAGGAGGCAGCCTGCCCCTTAGTTGTGGGATGGACGGTTCCTTGGGATTCTCTTCATTTATACCCTGCCTGTGTCTTGCAAAGGCAACCCAAGGGAGAACTTTCTGCAGCCCCCTCCCCCTCAAGCGAAAGAAGGCAGAGTTGGGGGCTGGGGTGGAGGAGATGGCCTCGGCAGCTGCCCCTCCTCTGCAAGGGGTGCCTCCCATCCTCTGGGGCGTGGAGGCTCGCCAGCACCTCAGCTGGGTTGCACGCCCAACGCTCCAGGATCAGGCCGAGGACGCTTATTGCCACAAGGCCGCCTGCTGTTGCGGCCGTGAGAGGGGAGGCGAGGCGCCACGTCGCCCTGGCGAGGGGGCTTGCACGTCCTGTAGCAAATGGTGGCCTCCCTCCCAGCAATCTGATGCAGCAAAACCAGAGCCACATTCCGCATTCGATTACTCTCATTGGGCTGCTGCACCTACATGGAAGCATGAAACTGGGGCTTGGCAGCCGGCGGCCACGTGGGAGCCACGTGACCGCGACGGAGCTTCTCGGGGAACGCTTGTCAGAGCCACCCTCTCCCGCAGCAGTGCCCGGGCTGCTTTTCCTCTCGAGGAACAGCCTCTCTGCAGCAAAGCGTCACCGTGCTGGAATGCCAAAGGGACTTGGGCCCGACCCTGCGCCCAAACTCAGCTTGGTAGTCCTTCATCGGAAGGAACCCTGTGCTTGAAAACCAAAGCAGTGCCCTGACATCCTCCCCATTCTCAGGCAATTGGCCGTTGTATTTGTCTGATGGTGGCAAAGTCTTGCAAGTTCATCTAATCAGGAAATCTGCAGTTTGAGGGGAAGCGGCAGGAAATGCATGTGGCTCTGTTTGAGATATTGGATATTTTTTCCATTTCCCTGTTGCCCTGGCAACCGTCTTGAACTCTAATATCGAAGGCTGCTGACCCGTGAATCGAGCACAGGGCTTATGCAAATAAATTCACCTAATTTTTTCCTCTTTGTATTTGCGAACATCAGACTTGGCATAAAGTGGCATTAGGCAATACCACAACTTGTCTGACAGGTGTACTCCCAGCTCTGGCAGCACAGACGCCTCCGTGTCAGAAACGGAAGCCATAATTAGAGCAAGGAACAGAATGAACGTCAAACGAATTACCCGGCAGCAGATCATATTTGTCAGGAAGGATTGCATACATAAAAATTAAGTGACAGTACATGCCGGGGTAATGAAAGAAAAATGAAAGATTTGCCCATACGCTCTTCGCCAGAGACAAGCGAGAGCCTCTACTCCGCGCAACAAATTGCACGGCTGGATTCCGAGGCTCCCGTTCCTTCGCCACAAGTCTGCGTTCATAAAGCAGGATGGGGTGAGGCCCACTTAAACAAATACCTGACAGCAGGCCGGCGGAGCGCACCTCTTCATGCCGGCGAGCCCCTGGCCGTGAGACAGGCGGAGGGGCGCGGGCTGAGACCTCTCCAGGAAGATCTGCCACCTTGGCCCTCGGCCCCCGGGCAAATTCTCCTCTGCCACCCCCGTGGCCACCTCGCCTGCCGCTGCTCCGGCTGATTCCGGCTCTGCCTAAGCAGGCGATCCGCGGTTTGCCCAGGGATACTCGGCTTTCGAGTTTTCCACAGGCAGGGCTTGAGGGATTTTGCCCCCGAGCCATTAGCAGGACCGTGTAGCACGCCTGCCTCCTCCAGACACTTCCTCACCTGGCACGCCTCTGCTTACTCTTCTTGAGCCTGCGTTACATTCCTGACCGAGTTCCGTGCAAGGACTAGCGCATGCTTATCCACGGGGATCAGCACCAGGGCCCATGAGGACGCGCCTCAAACACGGCGGGGAGCTGCGTTTGCATCCCCATCCCCATCCGCAGCCGAAATGTGCCAGGCCAGGTTTGTAACAGGGAGCACCAGTAACAGACTGGCTGCCTGCAGCCCCATAATGTAAATTTTTGTCAGTGGCTTGCAGTGAATAAATATAAAAGCTATTTAAATGTAAGCCTAAAATCAAAAGTAGGGTGGCATAAGTACAAGAAACAAAACTCACAGCAGCACCAGACTTGAAAGCACAGAGAAGAGAAAAGAGAAGAGAAGAGGCCTCATGTGAAACAGAACCTCTGAGGAAGATTGCAAGGTTTGGCTAGGTTCATCGAAGATGAGGCAGGCTGGGCCGGGAGCTGGTCAGCAAAGCCGGCAGCATCCCTGCAGTCTGTTAACTACTAGGCTACATTGCCCTGCCCCACTGGTATTACAGGCTTAACCTCAGTCCAGTGTCTTTGGTTTGGTTTGCTTTGGTTTGTAGTGACGCTACCCCCGTGACGAGGCTGAGAGCAGGAGAAACGGGGGCATTTCTGTCCAGTATTTCTAATCCACACACTGGTTCTCCTGTCAGTGATACAGGACTGCTGCAGCAGTTACGATGCAGAGAAGGCCTTCAGAAAGCCTTACGTAGGGCAAGTTCGATTTGCTAAAACATCTTTTTGTAGAACGGAAGTTTAAAACCTCCAGTCGCTTTATAGCAGAATGCAGAGGAACCGCTCGGAGACCCTGTAAAACTGCCGAGACCCGAGATTAAAATGGCCCAGCTATCCCGCTACACCTGTGCCAGTCTTCCTGGCCCAGAGAGCTTTGAATATACTGGAAGGCATTCCGACTAGTTCCCCCGGTGCAGAAAACTGCTTGAAGCCCGTGTGGGAAATCTCATACTGCCCTCTGGAAAGCGCGTTGCCGTCATGTGTGGACGGCTGGTTCATGGCTGCCTGCCTGTGGTGAAGCCGGAGGCTCTGAGGGAGTGGCCGAATGCTTCCTCCATGCTTAGAAGCTGGACATTCCTAAATCGGCCTCCGCCTGGGAAAGCGAAGGCTGCGTTTGGAGGGCGCATCGATCCCTGGGCATGGAGCATGCAGCCCGTGCGTCCAACAAAGCGGAATTGACCCCGTGAGTGGAATCCGGCGGCCCGGCCCAGCCCTGTTAGTCTTCACTCCCAGCCCCAACGCTTTTTCCTCCCTAGGCTGTTCTTCCACCTCCACCCACTGTATTTCATTTTCCTCTGCTGGGGAAACTTTCGGGTTAATAGCCTCCGATTAGCCTCTTCTTGTCAAATTGGCTGATGTGATGCATTGCCTAGCCCTGGCTGATTAAATCGGAAGTCTTGTGCACTTTCCTAGAAGATGCTCATTACAAGAGATTCCCACTTAATGCTGGACAAGCCATGAAGACAATTGAGCTTGTCAGTCTTTTATCCTGGCACTTACTTAAAAATTAATGCCTTTTTTTTTTAAGCCTAGCGAGCTGCCTGTTCATCTGTTTGCAGACAGTGCCACCATGACACTAGGTAAATGTCCCAGGTAGGCAGGTAGGGCCAGGTCGGCCACAGGCTGGCCCGCTTCGCGGAGCAGAGCAGCCTCATGCCCAGACATCGAGTGGAGCGCGTGGCGCACTCATCCATGCCACGAATACTGTCATTCCGCCTTGATGGGAAGCCCCCTTCGAAGCATTATTCGGACTGACAATCTCGCATCGAACAAAGGACCGCACAAGCACGGAAGGAAGGCAAGGCGGAAACTGAGCAGGGCCCGGCAGCCGTTGGCGGCGGCAGGCGGACTGCGCGGCGCTCTGACTCCCAGGGCGTGAATCTGGCGCAGGGGCTCTGGGTGCCCACGTCTTGTGTTTGCATCGCTGCACCGACCGCCTCGTTCTGGGCTGGGGCAGAATTGCTTTCCTTCCGGGAGGCCTCCGCAGAGGAGGACCATCGCGCGTCCTCAGGATTAGGGCATGCGCCATTCCGTGGGCTCATCCCCACCCTCCTTTCCCTTGACATCTGGCCCAGTTCTTTGTCCCGCAACTGTAAGAGCTGAGGGGCGCAGCTCCCTGTTCCCACAGTGCCTCTCAGACCCTTTGGGGGAGCTCAGAAGCTGGGCCCATGCGCAGGGCAGCTTTGCCCACTGGCAGCCAGCAGGGAGCAGCCTGCCGGCCTTTCCTGTGCCTCGGCCCGGCACAGTTGGGCAGGATGGGTGGGCACGGGGCGAGGCCTGCCGCAAAGTCAGCTGGGCGGTAGTCGAGGGCCCCCCATGGTCCTGCTGCGCTTGGGGGCCTTCCGTGCCAAGCCTGCAGCAGCGTCTCGGGTCCAGGCAGATCGCAGTCCCTTGCTTTCCGAAAAGCCCCCTGCAGTTGCGGATCTCGCTTGCTCGCTGGACGCGAGGACGATACACGGTGATGTCCCAGATCAGAAGCGTTTGGGAGGGCAGCCCCGGGGACGGCCGTGGGCTTCCCTGGGGCGTGTGGCGAAGCGCGCAGCCAGCCCAGGATTCTTGAAACCGGCATTCAGCCTTGTCTCCTCTTAGTATTCCGCTGTCCTGCCCAGTGTTGCTCCATGTACTTCATTAAAAGATGTGCTCGCTAACGAGCCCCCCGAGCCAGCTTCTGTGCCGGGGCAGGCCCGGGTCAGGGGCTGCGCCGGAATAGACCTCGGCTGGATACTTCATCCCGCTTGAAACGACGGTGTGGGCATGGGAGGGGGACCGCAGCAGGGATGCCACGTGGCGTCGGGTTTTAAAGGCCGCTTCCCTCGCTCTCAAAGAGCCGCCTCCCTCCGTTGGCCCCGTTCCCCGCGACGAGAGATGCCCCTCGAAGTTGCGCGGCTTCGCGTTAGAGCCGGGGCAGTCTGGGGCAGGGCATCGGCAGTCGGCTCCCGGCTGCTGCCAGCGGCACACGGGAGGCAGAGGAAAGGAGAGGAGCTGGGCAAGGCCCGTGCTCCCCCAGTGCCCGGCATGTTCGGGCTGCCAGGCGCTCCCGGGAGCGTGGCCCCACTGGCCACCCCGTGTGGAAGCCCCTTTGCCATCGGTGCCAGAGCTCACTCGCCCTGGCATCTCCAGCTCCCGCGGCGCCACATCCCACGTCCGGCTCGGCTTGCCAGATCCCGGAGTGGCCGCCCCGCACTCTGCCTGCCTGCACAACCGAAGCAGCTGGGCCTCCGGCGGAGCACGCGCGTGGCTCCCTCCTCTTCGGAAGGCTCAAAGCGGCACTGCTCTGGGCTGGGTCTCTCTTGCCCCGGGCCCAGATGGCTCCCGGCCAGGCTTGGAACGGCTGGGCAGTGGCTTCAGGGACCCTTGCGGCAGGGGCAGAACTGGTGCTCGTGCCTCCAAGGCAGTCTTTGGGTTTGGACTAGCCGGGCGTGGGGGTCGGTTTGGGCTTTGGCACAGAAACGTGGCTCCACTGATCACGGGTGGATTTCAGGCATCGCTTCTCTGCGTGCTCCTTTCCCCTGACCGTTTACATTCCAGGCTTTCGTGTGTGCGCTGTTCCCACAGCCGTCAGGGTTCTGACTCACGCTCAGAGCATCGCATAAGACGTACTTTCCACCGTCGGTGCAGGGCTGGAGGTTTGACCGGCCTTGCCTCAGAAGGTAACCCCTCTTTCTTGGCTTGTCTCCTTAACAGTGGGAACACCCTATTACATGTCCCCAGAAAGAATCCATGAAAACGGCTATAATTTTAAATCGGATATCTGGTCTCTGGGCTGCTTATTGTATGAGGTAAGCATCTCTTTTGTGTCCGTAGGTGGTATGGAAAGAGTGAAAGGAAAGGCAAGAAAAGACCGGGAGGAGGCTGGGTCGGTTTGCCTGGTCAAGGAGTACCTAGTGAGGGGGGAAGGCTGCGTTGAGCCCATGGAGGGCTCGGGGTGGGTGCATCGTGGCACAGAGAGGCCAGGCAGATGCCTAACTGTATTCTCTGGAATTGTGTCGTCCAGAATGCGGCTTCTTTGTGGCACTGAAATCCATGCCCCGCGCCTCACGCTGTGCTGAGTCCCAGGGGCGCTGGGCTCAGTCGGGGCAGAGGGAAGGCCTGCAGCTCCCAGCCGTGTCCCAGCCAGCTGTGGCCGATGGGGGCGTGCGGGGGGTCGTCAGTCTTTTTTCTGCCCAGGCTGCATAGGAGTGCGCCTCAGCGCCCTGCGGACCTCCGAGCTGGAGGCAAGGCTCCCTCTGCGGCCCCCGGCCAGCCCCTCAGCGCTCGGCACGGAGCTGTGCCAGAGGCGTGGCGTGGACACAGAAGCGCAGGTTGCTTTCAAGCAGCCCACCTGGGCATCAGCGACTCGGCCTCGGGTGGGTCATCCAGAGGCCGGGCCGCTTTGCGAGGAGCGATGCCCCTCCGGCGAGGCCTGAGCCTGGGCAGCACCTGCAGGAAGGGCGCGGGGAGAGGCCGGGGCTCTGCCCTGCCGGCTCTCGGGCAGCCCCCTGGGCTGCGCCACAAAGGCCACTGCAGACCGCAGGCTTCCCCGTTCTGCCCCCTTTGGCTCACCAGGAGTAGCAAGGCGCGCGCTTAAGGATGTTTTGAAGTGCTCTCCGAGCACATGTGGCTGATGGGAGTTAGAGTCCAAACCATCTTCAGGGCACCAGTTGGGGGAAGGCTGCCCAGGCAAGCCCCGTTTCACTAATGAGGCGCAAACAGTCGTTCCTTTCCCCAGCGGGATTCGGCGCCCGGGCTCTTGCTTTGTTAAAAATGCAGAAAGCTCTGACTGGCTTGCTGGGAGTTGCTTTTCCCGAGCTGCTCCTTCTCCGCACTGTGCGGCTTAACCAGAGAATCTCTCCCCAAATTGCCTAGAGCCACACATGCCAGTCGGAATTCGCTCTAATATCATTCGGGGCTGGGGTATGCGCGATGTCAAACAATGCCACCTTCACCTGACATTTACAATCTCACATTGATTTGCATTAAATCTTATCAAATCGCGGGAGCCTTCCCGTCTCTTGGAGATCTGTCATCAAGATAACTTGCGGGAGAGAGAAGTAAGTTTTCTCCTCCCTGGAAATAGCTGCAAGCCATGACTTTAGCAGTTCTAACAAGATAATCAATTTAAATGCAGGGAGCAATTTGTGTCCTCTTAAACCAGCAGCAGAGTGTGGTGGTCAGTCCGAACGGGAGATCTAGCCCTTCCCGGTAATCGTTCTAATCCCAGTGTCAAAAACAGACCTAGATGGCAGCAGTGCTTTCCCAAAGCCTGGGGTGCCCGGCGCCACGTGGGCCTGCCTGGCCACGTGCCACCGCCTCCTGCCGGCGCCTTAGCTGGACTGGCTTGTTGTCCGAGGGCAGGAGCGGACGAGCAGGGCCTGCCTGGACAATTTTGCCTCTGGGCGTCCGGATTTCCCACCGGGGCCGTGACGGTCGGCTGTCCGGATGCTGTCCGGCCGTTGTTCAGGGAGTGATGCCCACTTAGGGACCTCCTCCTGCTTTAGAGGAAGAGGGATCTGGGGCGTAAGGCACCGGTTTCTCTCCGAGGCCGCCAGCCAGAGCTTCTGCAAAGCCCTGGACTAACTCTGGGCCTGGGGGGAGACCCACTCTGCCAAATGTCCCCCTCGCCTAGGAGGGTGCCACAAGCAGACAGCCCGATGACAGTGGCCTGACTGCCTGACTGACGCTTGGGTGGATCGAGGCCCCTTTTCTCCATGAAGGACTTTGCCGCTCAGTGGCTCGCCTGCTCCAACCCCACGGAGATGAGAATTTGCCGGGGTTCCGCCTCTCTCCAAGCTGTGAAACCGGCCAGAGGGGCTCCCCGGAAGGAGCGTCTCCCTCTTTCCCCTGCAGCGCTGCTGGCAGCTCAGCACCTGAAAAGAGGCAGGCCGCTCTGGGTCTGCTTTCCGTGCATGATAATGAGCAGAAAACTACCCATCATCAAATAGCCCCCCGTCCTTATTAAAATTGGCGGTCGTATCTCCAAAGAGAAGCCGCTGGCCGATCCGCCCCGAGTCGCAGCAAAACGGCCTGGAAAGATCCTCCTGCCGGAGTGGGTAATATTCCGCAATTACCCAATCGTGCTTCGTTTGGGGGAGGGCCGCTGGTGCCGGGGAGAGTGACAGGAAGCACTTGAACAGCATTAGGGATTAATGAAGGAGCTGGGGCTCTGCGCAGGCCGCATGCTGAGGCGACACGGCTCTTGCTTACGGGCTCTGCGCAGCTCGCTCGCGGTGTTCCCTTTGAAGACAAACCTTATTAGAGCCGGATGCACGGGGGGGGGGGGGGGGGGGGGGGGGGCCTCTCCGGGGGGGGGGGGGGGGGGGGGGGGCCGGCC